CATTTTATTAAATACTAACAAAACATCTTAGTAACTGCATGGATATATAAGCATCAGAAGAGGTTGCTGAGGAAAATTACCATATCAGCACTGCTGAAGTATTAGAAATGGCAAGACAGAATTTATTAGGAATGTTTAGGTGCAGCTGATCTGGTGGGAAGTGAGATGGATTAGAATTTTTCCAGGAGACCCTCAAGCTCATGTTTCTATGTTTATTATTCTGTATATCACATAATCTACCTTTTTATTCTTTTCTTCTGTCTTTAAAATTCAAGGTTTCTTCACAGAAAACTGTTAATACTTCTTACTGAAGCCAACAGGACTTCAGCCATAACTTACAGTACCATTAGGATTTCACTCTCTTATTTTCTAAAATGATTAGTAATGTTGAAGAGTCTACACTTCAAGGGATCAGGTGGAGGTATTCGAAACAGTCAGTAGTGCTGTAATAGGACTGAGCAACTTAATAGGATTTAGTGAGGAGTATTAGTTAAAAAATTAAGACAACCTGCAGGTGTTATTTGTTTTTTCAAGTGTTCCATCTTCAAAGAAGCTGAAAACAAACATTTTTTTTGTATGTTTGTTCTATGTAAGCAAGTAAAAGAATGGCCTCAATACATGTTAAAAAGTCTGTTTATCTTGTATGTAATAATAAACAACAAAGTGCCAAGATGAAAAGCCAGATAAAAAGACATGCAAGGTAAGAACAATAATGTTTATAAAATTTATGTGATACATGTTTCTTTAAGTGATGTTCACCTGTACCTTTCTGAAGCATAACTACCTGCTTAGCATGCAACCATGCCAAGCATAAAAATGTTTATACAGAAAAGTTCACCTCTGGAATAGCTGTATCAGGAGCAGAGAAACATAAAATCCCATAAAAAATGTAAAATCAATTGCTATTTTACAGTAATTATAGCTTGCATTTCTTTTAAAAGTAATTTAAATTACTGGGACTTTGTGGCTATCCTTTTGCACAGAATACATTTCTAACTTTGCTAATTTCAGGTTTTAATCTTTTACTGTATATAACTGAAATTAAATACACTTCCCTGAATTGTATGCCATTCTTTCAGATACTCAAATGTCTACCTTTAAATTGCTTTTATCTGCTCTATTCCTGCAAGTGTAATTGTATTCAGAAGAGCTCCAAAGCTGAATTGCACAAAGAAGATGTGAGAAATGACTTTTCAACTCAAAACAGCAGCACTTAAGTTTACACTAATGCAGCTAATCTGATACTAATTTAAAATGCTGTCTTTAAGATTGTGTTGGTTTGAGACCCATTGTACTAACAGTCATTTTCAAATGAATCTTTTAACACTCATACAGTTTGTTCTCTTTGGGTAAAAGGTCAGTAATTTCAGTAATGTGACTGCACAGTTAAAATAGTAATGGAACTTGTGTTAACATTTTAATCTGGAAAGGAAGCTCCTTACAATAAAAAAAAACCAGAAAAGTAAAACAACAGAAAGTACAACTATTCTTACCCAAGATTATCAGGGTCAAAAACACGGTTCAGGTCACAGTCAATGTATCTAGTGCATTTCTTCACAGCTCTTGGGTTGGTAAGAAATGGTTTCACTTCTATTCCTGTTCTTTGGATCTCAGCTCCATTCTCTTGCCAGTGCTTGACCAAAAACACCCCTGATAACTCATTGCCATGAGTTCCCCCGAAGACAGCAACCCGTCTTACCGGGGCTTTAACAACAGAGGAGGAAGTCATGCTTTTCAGCAGCTCTAAGAATTGCTGAAAGCAAAACAGAAAACAGCAATCAAGTAAAACTTTTGTCTAAAAAAAAAAAAAGTAACTCTTTTAAATAGGAAATTCTTTTAGCCTATTTAGGTTAGGTGTGAATGAAAGTGAATTAATGTTTCTCTACTGGTTTTAGACTCTGGTTGTGAGGCGGGGAGTTGCTGTCACTCCTCCCTCCTGAGGAGCCCTCCCCTTCATTTACCATATTTAGTAATGTTTCCAAGTGTATTGCACAGTTCAAAAGTTAACTTACCCAGGCAATCTATACTAGTATATGATGTATGGGTAAATGCTGTACTAGTGACAGTACACTTTTTAATATAAACTTTAGTAATAAACTTCAATATCTCTGACTTCTTTGCGTTCCAAAGTAGGTGTAACAAGAACACTTCTGTATGTTTGAAGTTACATAAGCACTACAGCATACACAGGCAGAATGAGTTAAAAATGAGAAAAAAACAGTAAAATATGAATCATATCTTGGCTCTAGATCAATGCATAATGCTGAAACATCATGTACTTTCATCTAAAAAAACAAAAACAGATGAGTTCCTCTAAGCATGTTGTTGCTTGTATAACCTTTTTTTTAATTTCTGTTTTATACTACTTGAAGAACAGTGATTACATGGAACAGTAGCTGAAATTAAAGTGCAATTTATCCACCACTGACTTACCTAGTATTCCTGGCTCTTGTTCTGCCTGGAGATCTGCTAACAGACCTGTAACACATTGAGACAACTGTGCTAGTGATGACCCTTCTAACTTCTGCAATCCCTTATTAAAAAGGAAACAGATATAGACCACAATAGGACAACAATTGTCTTCTTCCTCTAACAAAATTCTTAGTCAACAACTTGACTTTTTCCATTTCTGAAAGCATTCATTTATGAAGGGAAACTTCAGACAAAGAGCAGCCATAATTTCCATCATGAGGATCAAAACATTTAGAATGAAAGGTCTTAATAACAGAAAGTAAGTTTTATTGCTGTAAACGACAGAATTATTTGCAGCTTAGAAGGGTTAGCTTTACAACCTAGAAGATATTAAAAATGTTACACTGCAAGGGAATAATACATGTTTATTGGACAATTTTATTAAGATTATACTCTAGTGCCTGGGAGAGGCTTTATAACCCACGATGATGGATTGTACTTCTATGAAAGGAAAACTAAACACAGGACTTAGCTAGACAACTTCTGCCTGGAATACATTTCCTAGAAAAGTTGCTCTCTCTGTTTCAGCTTATGCAGACAGATTTGCTGAACTTTACAGTGAGTTAATGCAGAGAGACTGTTTACTTAAACACTCACATGTATTACTGCTGTACTTAGAAGCTGTCTGATATTTAATCATAGTGAGTAATTTATTAAACAAAGCAGTAAAGTTGTATTTGACAGCACTGGACAGTCTGTTCTGTCCTTTGACCCTTTGGTCTCTTCAGCAATGGTGCCAAAATGGCCATTTACACGCCATCTGAAAAATGACTCACTCTCTGAATCTTGGTTTGCTGAATTTAACAATCACAGCAGTCTGAAGAGTAGAAGGCAAAATACAGACTTGCAGTGGTAATACATACAGCTTAGCTTTTATTGCTGATGGCACTGTAGTGGTTATAATTTCTTGCAAAACTGAATGAGATACAGAGATCGTTTGTGCACTTACCTCATTCAACATGCAAGAAGTTTGTCTCCTAAGAAGAGGTTTCTTAGAACAGATACAGTGCATTTCCAAACATGAGTTTAGGAACTAAAGCCACTGAGGCTTCTTTTATGCCCTTGGAGCAACTTAACTTCCAAAAAGCTTTTAACTCCTGGTATCCCAGGACATTACAAGCACCCACGAATTTGTGGCATAAATACAGACAAGTGAAAAGCTTTCACTCTTCTGAATTACACACCAGGACCAATCCCTTACCCCTGTGATTTGCCAGTACTTATACCTTGAAAAAATACGTAGGATCCTATTTAGTTTATTAAGAATTCAGATTGTTTTTATTTACTATATACAAATATCTTGGGGGTGCATCTGAAATCTTAGAATGGATGCCACAAGCTGAAGAACATTTGCAATAGTAAAATATAGGTGAAGTCTGGCTATCGAAGTCACAAAGGTGTGTGTATATAAACATATATATATGTAATATTACATTTTATGTATGTGTAACGTGGTTCACCAAAGCCTTCCAAGGCAGTAGATGAAGAAATAGGTTTACAAATAAAGGACAAGCTCCAATCCTGCTGAGTGGCAGGATTTTACACAGGAACCAGAACAGTATTTGTGAAAAGCCGCGTGTAAAACCCAGGCTTGGTGGCTGAAGAGAAAACCGGCGTGAAGAACACAGGTGGCTTTATTTATACGAATGTCTGCGTGGACATATTCGGCTCCCGTGCCTGGGGTGCTGAAGATGAGCAGAGGTAAGGTTGCCTGAGGTGATTAACTCACCCCGCCCTGCCCTCAGGCCGCGGCCGTTGGTTTTGGCGGGCTTTACCTCAGCGCCGCGGGCTGCGCCGGGAGGGGCGCGCGGGCGTCTCCTCCGCCCTTCGCTTTCCTCTCAGCCCCGGTGCTGGGGTTGGGTTGCTCCTCTCGAAGAGGGTACAGAAAGCAAAGCTGCTAAGCTCCTGGGGTTTTATTTTAAATGAGTGTCACTTGCTGATGGCCGTTAGGCTTCCTGGTTTAAACTGTGTGGCAGCGATGAACTAGGAGCTGCTGTCGTGTTGACACACACGTAATGGATGCAACTCAGAAATAAAGGGTGAATTGATCTGTTAGTCTAGCTGTGGTAGATAATTGTGCTTAATTCTTATCAACGCGTTTAACAGCTGCATATGGAAAACTGCCAGATCAAAATAAATGCAGAGGTAATACCTTACTTAGATGCACAAGGACGTGGTATTATTAACTTGCCACTAAAAGCAGCAGGCACCAGTTACTAAAAGATTAGGACTAATGCTACATGTAGTCTGTGTAGAATCTTCAATGTATGCAGTGATATATAGACAATTACAAGTAGAAAAAAAAAACAAAAAAAAAGCAAATATGGCAAACTACCTGTAATATGCTAACATATATTTTTTCTAGTCATAATAACTGGCTGATAATAATGGGGGGGGGGGTTTGCATGTGAAGCATTTTATGTATGAAGAAATCGGATAAATCAGTTTACGCTGTCTGGTTATCTAACTTCCACACAGGAGATTTAGAGTAATCAATACTTTTTAGCCTATTGAGATTCAGCAGAGAAATGAAGAGGAGCCTTGCTGACACTTCAACTCGCCCCACAGCAGGTACCAGCCACTCTTTTGTGCTCTACCATTTGTTCCTCATTATGCCCTTTCATATATATTCATATATACACACATACATGCATGTTCATAGAGGATATACAGTATTCAATCCTAGACCCCCTTTTTCTGAGTTGACTTGCATGGGTTATGTGGTTTATTGTGGCACAGGGTAAGACTTCGAATAGAGTCAAGGGACTGGTCCCTAAGGGAAAAGTTTCATTCATGGAATTATGTGCAGGGCAGAGGTCTATGAATATAAATTCTGAGGCAATGGCTGATCTGTTCTGTGTTTATGAAGTGTAACTACTATGGGTGAGGTAAAATAATTGTTAAATATTTTTATTTACGTATTTTAGGCGTAAATTGTGTATCCTTCTGCAGTTGGTATGGTATTATTATTTGAATTTTAATTACAGGTTGTCTTCCTGTACCTCTTTTCAATCAGAAGAAAAGAAATAGGCAGCCCCTTACTTCAAATCCACTTAAAAATGAGCCAGGTACCAGTTCTGGGACTCGTGCTTATGAATTTTCTCCCACATCATTTGGTAAATAAGACCTATATACATATATATTTAATTGCTCCAAATCAAAATAAAACTTGACTTCATTATTGTATTTTATTAAATTAGAGATTGTCTTTGTCAAGAATTATATGCATCCTTTATGTTTATTTCTGAAAAGTTCATTATGTAAAAAATGTCCTTCAGGAAATTTCTTTCTCCTCTGTACAATTGAGCTTTTTATACTTTGTGCCTAGAGGGAGTTTGACTCTTTGTGTGTTAAAAGAATGAAGTAGCACTGGCATTTAAATGGAGTCTCTTGAAACTCTGACCTTTTGTTTTCAGCTGATTTCAATCAGCATTCAAGTCCTGTATTACAAGAAGAAACATTTATAAGATGTCTTTCTTGGAATTCAGAAGAGAACCTCTATTCTTCAAATTCTCCTTGGAAAGAATGATGCAGAATTCTGCCTTTAGTACTTCTCTTATGTTTTACTTATAATAATTAAAAAGTTTACTTATAATGAAGTGAAAGTCTGTGCAGAGAAGTCTGATGTCTGTAATTTAACCATTGATTAGAGAAGCCACACAGTTGTTAGCAGTTGCTTTATAATTACAGATATCAAAGGATCACATCCCCTTGGTTTTTTCCCTTCTTCTTCCTGTGTGAGACTATTTCTGGACCATTAAGCAGATAACGAATAGGAGCCCTAAGCAGACCTAGTACCTTTCAATCTTTTCAGTTTGTATCCATATTAAAGCCTTTGTCTTTTGAGAATTAGGCTGGGGAGCTGCAAACCCTGAAGTGGATGAACTACAGGAAGCAGCAAACAACAGGTATGTAAAAGCAGAATATTTGTTGCTTATTGATTTTTGTTTGGATACTGCTTTTTTTCAAAAACTATCATCAGTGTGTCTGTCTTACAATAAAGTTGCTACTATGTCACTGATATTTAAACTTCTCCTTGAAAGCCGAACAGATCAGAGGGCTCCTTCCTTTATGAAGCCACCAAATGCATCAAAGTCTAATTTAGCAAATGCTGGAAAAAACTTGTCTGCCTTCAGGTTGGTCAAGCCTTTAATTTTTATCATTCTTCCTTAACCAGAATTTTTCTCATGTGAAAATGTGTTAAATTTTCCATGCACTTGTAGCATTCAGAGAAACCCTTTTAATTCTCAGATCATCCCTGATGATCATTCCATCGTGCTTATGAGCCAAAACCCACTGAAATGAAGTATTTTTCAGGTGTACCTAATGAGGCCTATAAATTAGATCTAATATCAAGCCTTGTTATCAGGCCTCCAATTCATTCTTACCAGAAAAGTTGATTGAATTTTGCTGCTCTTTGATGTAATTTTTTGAGATTCCCCTTTTCTTGAAGTTCTGCCCACTTTCAAACCACATTCACCGGTGGACTTAAATAAGTTTCTCTCAGTGTGCATTAGGGCAATTGTGTATCAAGACTTCTAGTTAAACCTGAATATAATTCTGAACTCTGTGCTTTTCTAAACAATGGAAAAGCAGGAAAGCCTCTTGCCACGTTATTAATTTTCTCTCTTCCCTTCCTTCTGTTCATTTCCAATGACAAAAAGAGAGTGACTGTTTTAGAGAACTGTCTCTAAAGGCAAATTGCAATGAAGGTGAAAAGAATTTCTGAGCCACCCTTATTATTTCTAACACCCTTCATTTTATAAGGTCAGCACTAGAGATTGTAGAAATATTTCTTCTGTGCTGGTGGTAGAAGAATTCAGAAATATCACTGCGAGAAGAAAATTTATTTTAGAGTTATGGAAAATATGTGAATCTTGGGTCAGGAAGGATCCCTTACATGGGGCAGGCCAATAATTAAGCTTTCAAGGCCTATTGAATTCAGCTGGACTTGGCACAGATGTCACTTCTCTATATATGGAAAAACTTGCATGTATGCTCAAGTGCTTTGAGTCTGAATATTTAACAGATGTTTTAAAATAAAACAACAATACAGAGATTACTTTTAACTACATATCTGAGTATTCATAATACTGTCATACTGAACTGTGTCTTATGTTGCACTGCAGGGCAGAAGAGAACACTCCCAGTACTAAAATTTGGAACAGAAACGAGTGTAATCCTTTAAGAAACACAATAGGTTCAAGATCTGATAGTGGCATTGGTCGAAAGTTTGAGAGCCCTTCAAATACTTTGAAAACTCACCATCTGCAAAAAAACCCTGATAATTTTAATTCATCTCAGCATATCAAAACAGAAACCCGGCAAACTTACACATCTAAAGGACAATGGCCAGTAAAACCTAACAGTGCTTCAAAAAGTCTGCAGGATCATAGTCTGTCATACAAGTTTACTCACAATATTCAGCAAAATAAAATGAATGAAAACCAATTTGATTGTGTGCCAACAGTCAAAAGTCAGGTAAGCTTATTAGGAAAGTTAATAGGAAGATACACTGAAGAAAAAGAAAACTCATCAGTCCTGGCTGCCTTAGTAAACCCTTCAGTTTCTAAATATTTAAAAATGAGATTTTCATACTGTAATAATCTACAGTCTTGAGCATATGAATTGGTAGGGGGTTGTTTATACAGTCTGAACAAATACACTAATTTTAATGTAAACATTGGATATTTAACATAATATATAAAGGGCTATGTGCTTTTTAAAACTGTGTGTGTATCTCTAACTGGAGTTCTCATTTTTCTTCCAAAAGGAGGTTTCATTACCTCAATTAAAAATTAAAGAGAAAAAGAATTCTTTGCGAATCGTATCTGCAGTCATTGAAAGCATGAAGCACTGGAGTCAATATGCTTATAAAACTCCACTCTTGTTTGAAGTTTTAGGTAAGCATGGTAGATTGTGCTGTAACTGGTAATAACGGTAGGACAAGAGCCAAGAGAGAATATTATTAACTGTAGGAACAATAGCTGAAATACCTAAACCCACATAATACTGGGATGAGCACCATCTAATTTTCCTTCATTCAGATATGGAATATGACTAAAGTAGGCACAAAATTAATAGTTATCCTCCACCATTTGAGCTCTTTCTAGCCTGTTTTTTTCTTTCCTTGATTTTAGAATGTGTTACAATACATTTTCCTGTTAAAGAGGAACCTTCTGTAGGGAGGCACAGTTTTACAGTCATTTTTAATGCAGTTAATCTGGAAATAAATTCAAGTGTGCAGCTCTTCTAGGTGTAGCTTACTCTAGGTTGTTTCTCTTTGTCATTTTAATTATGGTATCTGAGAAATGAATATGACCAAAGACTAATTTTAAATCAAGGTGAATAAGAATATACAATGTAACAGTATCCTGGAAAACTGCATCAACAAGGTTGAAAATATTTAAAGTTGATTTGCATATGAAGATTAATAAAACTTAAAAGATTACTGTGTTGTGGTCTGTTTAACAAAGGAATAGCCTGTTTACAGTTGTGGGTAAGAAAACCACATTTGGTCACTTCCAGTGCTGTAAGCACAAGTTTTCACAGAAAGCTTAGAGCTGACTTGATATATCATAGTGCTGTTGTGTAGTAAGTGCTGTCATGATCTCTTTGTATGTCATACTTAGTACTGCTCTGATGGTTTATTTGTGCTGAATGGTACAGGCACGCTTGATTCTGCAGTCACAACTGGAGCATATGCGGCCAAGAATTTTCTTCTGAGAGATGGAAAGGAGAGTCTGCCTTGTGTATTTTATGAAATTGTAAGTATTCCTGTGCCCATACATAGCACAGACACCAGTAGATATAATAGCATGTTGTTCTGGTAAGATAGAAAGTTGTTGTGTAAAAGGAGAGCTGGATGCTTATACCATATTGTTCCCAGGCTGCTCTAGAGCCATCCCCAGACTTCTATTTCAGCAAAAAAAGGTAGGAGTTTCAGTTCAGCTTCTAAATAGTTGATAGTGACAAAAAAGTTGGATATAAATTCCTTCTGTGTTTGAGGTAGTTTTCAGAAATCCACTAATGTCTAACAACCAGACATTTTGAAAGCTTTTATGTTAGAAAGGTGTGTAATTTTTTGTTTATTGTGCTTTTGATGAAGGACCGGGACCTTCCAAGACTAATTAGAGGTCGAGTGCACAGGTGCATGGGCAACTATGACATAAAAAAGAACCTTTTCAAGTGCTTCTCTGTAAGACCAGCAACTATGCAAGAACAAAACACTTACCAAGATTTTGTTAAAATTTCTGATGTTGAGATGACAGCATATGTAAAAACACTGAATGAAATTTAAAAGTTAAAGCAGTTGTCCAAAACTGATTTTCACCAATCATTGCCCATAAAGGCTGGGCATCCTAAGGAGGCATTTAACAAAACTAATACTGAAAATCTAATTAAATAATTGAAAATATCACTATACTGTGTTATCCAACAAATGTTAGTAACAATGTTTTGTTTCCACTGTTACATTTATCTTTCCCAGATAAATATGCAATAACAGGGTTTTCTTATGTAGTGGATTTGATTTTACTGGAGAAATTCTGAATTAAAATGTTGAAGTTTTGTAGTAGTGCAAGTGTCTTAGAAGACTATCAATACTACCTTAGATTGCTTTTCAAGATGTTAACTTTTCAGAAATTCCTTCAGCACCTATTTTGAAATGTTTTACTACATACTTCTTTTGAGAAGTATTTGCTCACTGTTTAAATGCTAAAAACATCAACAAAGTTCTGTTTGGCTCTGTATATTGTATTGAAACTGCTCTTTGGTAGAAAGCAAGGAGATTGTTTTTATTCCACTTCAATTCTAGCTAACCGATTCTCTTCCCTCTGCTGGGTTACAAGAACATGTGTAAAAGCTTTTCTAGCAGTGAGCATAATAGACACTACAGAAAGATTTCACAGGATGCAGCTGAATATATTAGGTATTCATGTGGTTCCCATTGATGTGTTGTCTGATTCACATTTTCTAACAAAACAAATAATCAGTATCACACCTGTATGAAATAGCAACAGACCTAGAGCTGTAGGAAGAGTGCTCAAGGACACAGAGGAAGTGGGAAAGAAATGGTTATTTGAACACAGATCTTCTTTGCCTTTCCCACAGAAACACAGGGATGGACCATGCACATGTTTATGTGTCTTTGCCTTCAAACATTAACTTTCATATATTATCCCTGCTGCTTCTATTTCCTTTTCCCCTTAACTAGTTCCCCTACTTCAATAGCTCTGTACCAGAACTGTTGGGAATTTTAAAACAAAAGAGTTGTCAAGAAAACAGTGAACAGTGTGGAGTCTGGGTTTTTGTTGCTGTTTTTGTATTTTTTTTTAAATTTTATTATACAGTGTTGGCAATTGGAAATTTCACATTTAAAATAATTGAAATATTGTATCCAACAAGTCAAATACAGAAAACAGTTAATATTCTAAAAAGGAGCCAGCTAGTCAACGCAGAAACACATTAATGGAAAATACAGCTTTCAGTTACACTTAAAAAATTATATATTTAGAATAAAACTTGAACCTGGTCCAGTAAATCGTTTGACTTACAACGGGAAATGCTTTTACACAGTGGAACGCGCAGACAGTCTGTATTTAAAAAAGTGATCTGTCAGTGTTAGAATGAGTTGTTAGCAACATCCCCCTTCATATTCCACTTGAGGATCTAAAGTATATGCTTTACTCGTGGCTGTGGGAATCACTTGGATAATAATCTCTGCCTTGTGCTAAACTGGTTGTGAGTGTGGCTGTTTCAAGGAGAGTTTCATCTATCCACTTGTAAGAGTCATATACATATATTTGAGGTCCTTAATATAGTGTAAAATACTAAAGAAAGTTCCAAATGGAAGCATTAGCTTAACTCATAAAAGGTGCAGAATGTTACAGGATGTAGAGCTTGACAATGTTCACAACAGAAGCTGAGTTTTAAGAAGTAAATTATTTGGTGTTCTAAATGGTAAGACTCCATTGTAACAGTAAAGTAAAACTAGAGAGGAGACTTGAACTATGGGACCAAACCTCCAAGCATGTGTGTGTGTCATCACCATCACACGAGTGTGGTAGTCCCACTGATTCCAGTTGAATGATTTGTTTGATGGTTCCAGTTCTGCACATGTGGAAGTTATATTAATAAGCAATAACAGGAACAGGTTGTCTGTGTCTACTTGCTATGTTATGGCTGTTAATAAAACTCTAAAATAATTTTACTTTCAGTAATTGTTTATATCTTTACCAAAAAAAAGGTTTTCTACTTTACACTAACAAATCACTTTTTCTAGTGAAACATTAAGCCAACAGTCGTAAACACTACACAAAACAGAAAAACCCCTACATAATACAGTTTATACACATTACTCAACATTTTTCAGTTGTTGGTTGATTTTTCTTGGTGGTGGTTTTTTGGGTTTTTTTGTAACCATATTGGTCCTGTCTTGTATAATGATTCTAGTGTAAAGGCACAGGTTGGTTAGGAAAGAAAAGCCTGCATCTCTGTCTCTCTACTTCCTGGTGATTATTTTCTTTTAACATGTTGTTTGTTATTCCTCACTTTTCTGACTCTTATATGAAAATTATCCATTCCAGCCATTCATTAAAAAAAGTGTAAGACATTTTTGAAAATTACATTACTATACAGAGGTGACTGAAATTTATTCTTTCTTTAGAGGCATTCCTTCAACCTATTTTGTTAAAAACTTGGAAGATTTAATTCCTTAGCCACTGTGAGGAGAAATGCTCTCTCTCTTTCTCAATGTACTTAATTCTAAATTGAAGTCTTTATTTTCAAAGATTAGGAATGGAACTTGCTAAGCTTATATGCAGAATTTGCTCCTAAACTGCATGTAACAACAGGCAATTATTTTGGAGAACAATGCAAGGTTCCACTGAAATTTAGAAAGGTGAGGTAAATGACTGCAGAAGACTTTGACATTAATTAAAATAACACAGTGATTGTTCTATCTGTTTGCATTTTCTTATACATCCTCAACATGTCTCTGTCTGTCCCTTCATGGATACTTTCCATTAAAAAAAAATAAAAAATTAGGAATCACTTGGACTCAGCTAAGTGAAGAATGGTAAATTTGATCACTTGGTTTGTGCCAAAACACAAAACTAAGTAGTACAGCTCTGAATTAAATATAATCTATGTGATTATTTATTTTTAAATAAATAATAGAAAACAAAATATGATAATAACATAAGAGTGGGGTGAGATTAGAACCCAAAGTTTCTTTTGCTTAAGGCAATCAAGTGCACTTATTTCAATGCTTGATAGTGATGAATTCAGTGCTATTGTAAAAATCAGACTTCATGAATTTCACATACAAAACCATGAAATATGGCCACTTGCTAGATCTGACACAGCACCAGATGAGTTTTATTAGTCATGTTCAGGAGCATTTCATTTTGCTTCACACTTTTCTTTTTCCCCCCTACAACAGTGGCCTCTCAATAGTAACGGTGATACTAGAATCTGGTTCCTTCTGGCTTGTATTACCACTGCATACAAGGGCTGTCAGGCACACACATTTATACATTTTCGTAAATAGAGATTTTTGTTTTCAGCCCTAAAAAACAAACAACAAACCCCCAAATCTACAGTTGCAACAGTTCAAATAATTTTGTAAAAGTCCACCGAAAATCATAATTTTAGAAATACCAACAACAAATTATTAGTTTGTTGGTTTGTTTTTTTTTCCTGTTGTTAAACTACTAAACCATCATGAAGCCTTTGGAAGTGGTTAGATCTCTCTCTCCAAAAAAAGAGTCATCTAGGTTTTATACAAGTCTTCATGAAGATGGCTTTAAATCATGAAGATTAGATCAGTATTAAAAAGTGTGCCAACAGCTTAAAATTGCAGGTACCACTAATAATGTGCACCAAAAAGAACCTTTTTTTTCTTGTATACAATTATTTTTAGATATCAAGCAGATTTTTTAGGCTGTGGTTACTAGTAGGTGCTTTTTTTCACTAATCAAAATAATTGTAGCAAAATATCATTAATGATTTTACAGTTCTTGGGTTCATAAAAGTTTTTACATCTAATCATATACAAGAAGTGTACGGAAGCTTTTAAAAGACTTACAATTTTGAGACACAAAAGAAACTGGGAGGTAGACAGATGTTTTGAGGATAAACAGATTTTTATTTTGTCTAAGGCATTATGCCACTGTATGTTTAGAGCAGAATCAAGGCTTCTGATTAATCTTATTTCAATTCCAGAGTGTTTGTTGCTCGTACTTATGGAAGACTATCAATGCACTTGTGGTCTTTGTGACTCTGACCTTCTCTTCCCCAGCTCCTTTTTTCTCTTTAGCAATACAGCTACATGGAAGTGCTATAAGAATTTCTGCCCATTGCCTGTAGACAGGAACGTTCTGTTCTTAGTAATAAAATACTATAAAATAGTAGGTAGTGGAGTTGGAGATGTGTGCTCTTTTGGTGCATATTTTGCAAAGAACGGTAAAAAGACAGACAACATTACCCCAACAATTGCCAGCATGTACCCCCAGCCAATCTGGCAGTCTCCTGCATAGTAGATGTCTGAATTCTCACAGAATCTCTTCACAGTAGCAGAGTTGAAACCAAAAGGGTAAACCAAAAGTCCAGAAGCCATTATGAACACTAGAGAGGAGGAAAAAACCACAACAATTATTAAAAAACAATTTTATTTGGAAAAAATATCCTTATTTTAGAAAGGTGAATATCTGTTGTATTAAAATCAATGGGAAAAGTCATAGCTTAAAACTTATGATTGTCAGATTAGTTTCCTTTTCATAATTACCTCTTGTGAACAGCAGTATCATAACATGGTAGCAAGTTGGCACTGGGATTTTTTTCATGAGAACTGTTGCCCATTACAGAACTTCAGAAACGTTGTGATCCAAATTATGTAGCCATTTAAAAAGAAAGATGATTCAGATACAGTGGAATCCAGAGGAGAATTCTTAAGTTTGCAGATTCCAGGCCAGCATGATTATCTTCTCAGCAGCATTTTTTGTACTTGAGACAAACAATTACTTTGTTCTGCCAAATAAAAACTTCCAATGAGAGAGTTTAAATGTTTTTCAGATTCTGCTGATTAGGTTCTGATAATGTAAACTCTTTCTCATTATCTTCAGTATTGCAAACTCCAGTCGTTTAAAAAAATCCTGCATGTGACCCAAAGATCATGAGATTAAGAACAATACAATCTGTCATCTTTTTATTTGGCTTTTAGCACCACAGTCTTTCAGTCTATGTTTTGGAATTTTCTCTGTAAACTTGAGGATTAGAAAAATTTTCAAGGATGAGACCTAAATTATTAAGACCTGGAGTTCCCATGTTATCTAATTTTGACAGCTTGGGCTCTAAAAACACACAAAAAATATAACAGGACATGTAGAAATGTAAAGGTTCATAAGTGAGGGCAGAGAGTTAAAGTAGCAGGAGATCTGTCCCAGTGAGATGTCTTTTACTCCTTCTAACCAAATATATGAGCAGATTAATCCAGTGCATAAAGAAGAAAAGGGTCTAAAAAACAAACAAAGCTTAAGACACCACTTGATGCTGGAAAGCCAGACTGGCCTTCTGCAAGTATTATGTGTATTATCTGTAGCTTTTAACAGAACTTCGCAGATTTTACAATCTTTAATGAATACACATTCTATTTAAATATCATGGCTTGTGCAATTAATTTAATGAGAAGCAGAATTACCTTTCCAGCTTTGAAATCAAGACTGCCTGAGGTATAAAATGTGACCAGGACAATGGTGCATTCAAATACTCCAGGTGCAGTTTTCAGAGCCTGTTTCTGCCCACCTTGGAAGCCAAGAGGAACTGAGCTAGGCCAATGCCAAGAGTGACACCCCGGCAGCTGGTGTGTGTACCCCTTTGGTTCAGAGAACACTGAGAAACCATTTTTATTTCTATAGCCTTTTTTGCTAATAAATAACCACTGTATTTAAAATTTATAGTATATTTCAAGAGATTTTATGTGCCACCATGCACAGTCCTTTTTCCTGTCTTGTCATTCTTCCACAATATTTTGTTCAAATTCAGGGTGGACTGTTATGGATTCAAGAATAGTGGAAATCAGAATTTACTGTTATGTTTGAACTGAGAGACAATTAATAACCAGCAAGCATCTAATGCAACATGAAGATTATAAAACAAGCACTACATTATATCCTCTGTATTTGTAATTGCCTTTCAGGTAGGGTGTGTGCATATTATTCCAACTGCAATACTGGAGAGGCTTAATCTTAAAAGTAGCCACTAAAAAGGGTAATCACTCGTTAATTTTTTTAAATTAAAAAAACAACAAACTGTAATAAGCTGAAGGGCTAGATGAAGTTTAAAAGTTTAACACACTCAGCCTGTAAAGTCTATAAATAATGTTAATTAAACCTTTCCTTCTAGTCTAAATGGAACCGCTGAGATAATCCCATGTAAAAAACAATCAGACCAAGAAAATGGAAATGAAAAGGACAGAATCTGGAACAGAAGGAAACTTTCCAGTCTTTTTCCCTCTAGGGTAACTCATGTCTGGGTACAAAGACAAACTGCCTGCCAGTTAGAGGAGCTCTCTGAGAGCAAGGTGCTCTCACCTGCCCTTGCTCCCACAACCACTCTTTTCCTTTAAGCCTTTATGAATGAATTTTCAGTGGTTCCCAGGTAAAGGTCACTGTGGCCTTTCCCTCTTCCTAGGCTCAAGGGGATGCTGCAGAAGCCAGAGAAGGGAAAGGTCCTCAGCACAAGCAACATCCTGAGCAGGACTCACCCTCCTGATATTCACCTACCTGCATGTGCTGCAGGTGCCCAGGGCAGGGGGAGCTCAGGCACCTCAACAGCCTTTAGAATCATAGAATCATAGAATCTTAGAGGTTGGAAGGGACCTCGAAAGATCATCTAGTCCAACCCCCCGATAGCAGCTGTGCTTGTGCATTTAGGTTCTAACATTCAACAAACACACAGAAGCTGAAGCTAAATACAAAGAAGGAAGTTGCATTATGTGGATCTCCGTTAGCTACCCGTGAAGGGCACCACTCTAAACAATGCAAGATGAAAATACAATAAAAATGAAGCTGAACTAGACACGCACACAAACAACTCATCTGGCAAAGGTCACTGAGCATTCCCAAAAGAAGAAAAGGAGCTAAGGGCCAGCACGCTTCCTTTGTTCAGCAGCACAGCCTGACAGTGACCCTCCTGCATGCTCAGGGAAATTCCCCAATCACCACCTCTGCAGGCAGAAACATAGGAAGCAACCCTGGAGAACAACCAGGGAAAAATTCCCACAGTTAGGAAGCAGAACAACGTGCCACCTAAGAGCTTGAATGTAATGTGGATACACAGCATAGCTCCACTCCAGCCCAGCTGCATGAGGAGTCCTGAAATAGTCTTGTGGTGCAAAACCTTCTGGAAAATGTTGGGCCCATTTGCTAAGGAAAGCAAGCCAGTTTTAAGAGAAACAGCACTGCTCTGAGCAGGAAGCAGGTCTAAAATTAAAATGTCAGTTTGTTCATCTTTCAACACTGAAATAGTCCATGCATCTCATTTGGCAAAAGAAAACATTAGGCAGAATTGGAAGCGATTGCTTTGTCACAAAATCCCTTAGACTTTGATAACTGTTAAAATCTGTTGATTTTCTGACACTATCTCAATCCCTTGCTCTACTTCATGTGTCTGCCCAGACAGATGTTTTCTTTCTGATTGGATTGCCCAGAATTATTTTGAAGGTTGTGCTCCACAGTGTTTTGATTACCTCTTGGTGTGATGTTGTGTGGTGTGATTTAATGGAAGAAGCTTTTTTTTTTTGAAGGCTGGAAATAATCTGTCACAGTTGAGTGTAATGTGCTCACATATCAAATGGGCTAAAAAGTTACCCATGGTTTCATATCCTCAGGCATGTCATAGAATGACCTCATTACTCTCATTTAAGGTGCCCTCTTTCTTACAAAGGCTCAAAATATTGAATAGCCTGTTATTATCAGCAGAAGCCAAGCTTTCAGTCCTGGTACTAATGACTGTTTAATAGTGCTGTCTATCAGCAGTGCAGTTAGCTGGGAAAGCACACAAAGAAACAGTGGGGCTCCTTCCAGACTCCTCACATAACACTTAGGCCTCTGCACGATTTTCAAACAACAAACATCACTTTAGAAGGTGTCAGAATAGAGCAGTGAGTGCATTTTACTATCACGTGTAGTGCTCTCCTGCTGCCATACACCATGAGGAGGCTAGACCACATATTTGGGTCTCTTCTATAGCATGAAGCATATGGAATACAGAGAGGACTTGCTGGTAACATAGATAGTTGGAGTTCTTCTTTTTGACATGGTTTGACTGATCATTAGATTAATCTCTCACCAGTTATTGGATCTTGTTAAAAACATGTCTTTCTTTTTACTTATTTGTTTATTTAGTATCTGACACGTTTTTTCTATTGCTAGGTCCTCATCACCCGAGTTCTCACCAGCAAGTCACAGCCACTGCTGCCTGCAAGGTGCTTTAAAGTCAAGTCCACGTGCACTGGTTAAACTGTGAGTCACTTTTTATTACTACTTTTTAACCTTCTGCCCTCCCAAAAAGTTACAGTCTCTCTCTCATCCTCCATTGGTGTCTCCCAGCCAGACAGTAAATGGCACTTTTTCCTCAGAAAGATTGGCTGGTCAAGGCAGGACCTCCACCCTGTGCTCTTGCTCCCTATGCAGGCCCAAAGCTTAAAAAATATAGTTTACCTATTTCTTTTAAAAAACTAAATTGCTGCGTTTGTTGATTTTTAAATAAAATAACTTGAATAAGAGGAATAAGGAGGACACTTCCTTTTAGAGAAAACAAGGCATTTTGTAGAACAAGTTGTAAATTGTTGGTGATAATAACACTGAATCAATGACACCTTGTCAGGGAAAATAGCATTTTCTACTATTTTAAAATCGAATACACTGTAACTGTCTGTCATTACAAAGGCTCATTAATTTCATTAAGCTCCTGAAGTACTGTTTGATTATTTAAATCCATCACATACCATTTCCCAGTTTATTTTAAGCCAGCCAAACCCAAGTAATGCAGTTCTCTCGAGTGTGTGTAGAGGGCACCAATGTACAAGTCTCTTAAATACCACACACAAAAAATGGCTATTTCCATTTCCACTTCTTTCTGCCAGACTGATGGGAGTTTCCAATGTATGAAACACAATAATTGAATCGTTTTCGGTATTGTGAAGCAGGAATGTGAAAACTTGGCTAAGCTTATATGTATCCTGCTATAGTAATGTTGAAACGGATGGAAATTCAGAAGTGGGCCCCAAGTGTTATAGAGATCAGAGAAAGCTATTTTATCATATTTGAGTGTTATAGAGATCAGAGAAAGCTATTTTATCATATTTGTTAATGTTTTTAGATTATGAGTAGTAGCACTACTGATCACCAGTGGTAAAATATGCTGTGTGCATGAATTATCTTCCTGGAATTACCTGCTGTAAGAAGATTAGTTTGTCTTAGAAGTTTAATTTGCTTATTTTAGGATCACATTATATTCCTGATACTTGTGACAATGATGGATTAATTGCAAGATTATGGGACATATCAGACAATCATTAGAATTAGGGCTGAATCATAGGCCAGCAAGAGTATTATTCCAACCCT